TGTGTGTGGGGGGTGTGTGTGTGTGCGTGCGTGTGCGTGTGTGTGGGTTTGTGTGTGTGTGCGTGCGTGTGTGTGGGTTTGTGTGTGTGCGTGGGTTTGTGTGTGTGAGAGGAGCCATGAAAAGATTAATGACAGAAATACTGTTATATTGCAGCCAGTGGCCCAGTGAGGAACACCAGGCAGGACCATGTGTCATGAACTGGATAAAGTGTGAAATCTGGACCTCTTGAAGATCAAGAATCATTCCAGCTGTGCATGGAAATCCCCATGACTGAAGAGTCTTCTCTCTGTTCAGTCTTTTCTCACACTTTGAAACTCCTCATTGGTCTCTGTGGGTGTCACGGAAAAGGAAAATTGACAGTTTCATTTGTCTTTTTGGCACCGTTCATGTGGACTTGCATGCCACTTCACAGCGAGGACTTCCTGTGACGTCGCTAGCAAACATGACATCAATCAATTTGTGTACTTTTGTATAACAGCTTGGGAAAAAGCGTTAACTACTTCTCCATGAAAGAATGTCCTTCTTTTGCCAAGTAGCTGGAGCATGTAGTTCTGCGTTGAGTCATGCTTTTAGTGGCTGAATTACAAACATTATGTTTGGTGTTCACAATATATTTCACTGCTCCTCAAGTAATTCTGACCTTTTTAACAACAGTACCTGGTTTTTAGCTCTTAGATTTGGGCTCCAATTACAGCATTTGCTCCTTGGCTGGGAGCCACACACATTCTAGCTACAAACACTTTGTTCAGGTTTTAGGTTCACAACGCTTAGCTTGCAGTGTGATGATGCCTTTGGACTGCAAGAAGGCGGCCACCTAAGGATTCAAAACATTCAAATACTGTGAAATAGGTCAATACTTCAATTCATTCATTTCAGAAAGAGAAGCTCTAAAAGAACCATAACGGACTGAAATATTTCATAACTTTTTTTCTTGTTAATTTGATGATTATGGCTTACAGAGAATGAAAACTCAAGACTCCGTATCACAGAAAATTGTCATGGTTACTTGCGGTTAAGAATGACCCAAGCGCAGAGAGCCAGAAATGGCCTCTCTGCACTTGCACAGTCATCAATAAACATGATGAATATTTCATTAAAAATGATCAACAAAAACCAAGAGGAGAGACAGAGCCAGAGCAAAACCTCATGAACCAGATGTGAGGAAACAGTGGGCTGAAAGTACTGGGATATTAACAGGAACCAGCGAGGAGAGAAAGCAGAAGATGTGTAAATGAACAGTGGTCTTTAAAGTTCAGGTTAGGGTTAGGGTTAGGGTTGGGTTCAGTTCCTCCTGGAAGGCCGGCATCCTGCATGGTTTATTCTCTCCCTGGTGTTCAGCATGTCAATGCTCTCCTTAGGCCTTTCAATGAGCCATCATTTGATCCAGGTGCGATAAACCAGGGAGAGAACTGAAACATGCAGGATGAACTGACTTTGGACACCACTGACTAAGAGGGTGAATGCTGGAACAAAAGACCAGGGCTGAGAGAGAGAATGGCACAGGGGGCGAGTGAGCTAGAGTGAACATGGGAACAAGGAAAATGAATCAGAGTACCAAAGAATAACCAGACAAAAGGAATAAATAAACATAATTAAAAAGAACTGAAGTAAAGTAATACAGAAACAATGTTGATCTGATAAAAGATGGCAAACAAAGAAGAGTAGAATGAAATAGTCAAACCCCAAAAACAGGACCTGACAAAAATTAGACTATTGGAAAAAGTAAAATGTCAAAAACTCATGTTGTTACACTGTAATCAGCTAAATAACTCAAAATAACGTTTCTGCTTTCTGAACCTCTTAGTCTGGGTCATTATAACACTACTGACTGAACAGACTTTCACTCGCTGAGTGTCCATTGCTCATCTTGTTGTTCCCATCAACAAGATGATGGGAAGTGGTTGGAGGATCAAGGCGCATGTTTGAATTACATTTCATATTTAATGTAGCAATTGTGAAATTGTGTTCTTTTGAGATTGGCAAAGGCTTAACAGGAAATGCACATCTGTAATGGAAATGCAGCTAATGACACCTTTCATGAGGAGAACAAGCCACAAAAGATCTTTGCCAGAGGATGGTTGTTCACAGACTAATGTACTCATTGAAAGTTGAGTGGAAGGACAAAGTGTAGTAGAAAAAGGCAAAGCAGCAACAGGGATGACTGCAGCCTTAAAGTGTAAAATTGAAAACGTTCCCTTTGTCATAAATGTGCAGTTGAATTGTTCGTTTAGTATTGAAGCGCTCCCTTGTGGTGTTACCTATTGAAGTCTACGAACAAAGCAGTATGATGACTGTTACGTTACGGCAAGTGCAGGTGGAATCCATGGTGGAAAAGAAGTTAATGTCCAGATCAAATCACTGCCATAATCCATAGAACTGTATTCTTTATACTTAAAGGATGATCATTCTAATTGATTGTGCTCAGAAGTTCTTTCCAGAAAATTGTTGTTGCAACTTAGTTCAGTTCTGTCAGCTATATCCAAGAAATAAACATCTTATCTTTGTCTTTTGCCTCCAAGAAAAAGACAAACTTTTGCTGGAACAGTTTGGAACAATTCAGTGAGAGATTGAAAGGGTTGAAGCTCATCCCCATTTTTTAAAAAACAGATTCAATTATTTTTATACTTGAGATCATTGTAGGACCTGGAACAGATTGTCAGAGGTAACATCATTTCTGCTGTATTTGGATAGTATGATGAATGCATGATGTGCTTTTCCTGTTTTTTTTTAGTAGTATAATAGAAATGAATGAAATTACATGTTCCCAGGCTCTCCGTAAGCTCTTCATAGCTTCGGTGGAGACCTGATTCACTCACCAGATCCACAGTTATGATCTGTGTGGTAAGACAATGTCAGTTGATTATGGAATTTGTTAAATTGAGTGAATTAAATTGATTTGCTGGTGTGTTTTGGATCGTTATCCTGTTGCAGGAACAGGATGTATTCGACAGCAGCATTCATGCTTCCACTAATGGTGGAGACATGACCTTTGACCTGGGCAAGGGAGGCCTGCTGTATTTTGGCTGCTGTTGTGGGTCTTTACTGACCTGAAGTTTAGCTGGCCAGTGGCTCCTGGGAGCCTCCACCACTCTTCTATGTTTTAACCATGTGTGGCTCTCATTGAGGTTCACTGGAGTCCAAAGAATTCAAAATTCCTCACTGATAAACTCAGTTACTTTTTTTCTCATTTCTTCCTGAATTTCTCTACATCTTAGCATGATGTCTCACTTTTGATCATCTTTTGCTCCCCTTCACTTTGTCATGCAGGTCCTGTTTAAGTCATCTCTTGATTGAGAATAGGCGTAGCTACTGAATGAAGCTATACCTTTAAAGTGAAGGTGTAGCTTTGGAGAAGTTTGCAGACACACCGTGCTGCAAACCTTTTCAGAGAGCCTAAGTTAGAAACAATCTCATGTTTTCCTTTAACTTTTCAACTAAAAGTGAACCATTACTACATTAATTTACAGTAACATTATTAAACATGTTTTAGCTAAATGCTTAGCCAGAGTCTGAGTTGTCTGAAGTCATTACTTGGCACAAAGGAAAAATAAGCATCTGGGGGATCCCAAATTGAGTGGATGGAAAAGTTTGGCTCTCAGAGCAGGGGGAAGCCCCACAGCTGTTCAGCCTGTTCCCAAGTACTGTAATCCTTCAGACAGAACCAGAACCCTTCAGCAGGTGACACACAAATGTTCTAATTCAAGTACACCGAAGCCACCATGCATTGGTCATCAAACAAGGTTGTTGACCTGATTCTTTAGCAAAAAGAATAAATGTCGCCTTTGTTGACATGGATGCTAAGAAACACGTTTTTCAGTTTGAAACTTGTGATTGTTCCATATAATTAGCTCCATTGTTCCTTTTACATGAACTACAAGATCTAAGCAAGTCATAATGGAATATAAAAGGCAATATTAAGGACTATGTGGAAGAAAACAAACGATTTATTATGGTTAAGCTCCAAGGATACTGAATTTGACATTTATGTACTCAATGGCCCTGTGGTAACGTTTGTTACATATTTTCCACTAAAGTATTTCCTTTTAAATGGAATGAAGAACATTTGGCTGCAATAAACTAATCAAACATAGGTTGAAAGATAGTAGAAACAAAAAGCTCAACTTTTTTCTGCTTGACTCAGATTCAGGTTGGCCTGGTGCCTGACTAGACTTCTGACTGGTAGAACAAACATTATTGTTCTAAAGAACAAAGTAGGCTGAAACAATATTTGAACACAAACATGACATAAATCCTAAATCTTCTAGCACGACAGCACAGCACCACAAGGAAAAACATGATAGGACTGGGTCTTACTTTATTACCATCAAATTTATGGCAACAATCAAAAAAAGTTGCATCTTCAACTATAAGTGAAACATGAATGTAAAAGTGACAACAGGTCAGTCATGCAACAGAATCTTATAAAAAAAACAACAAATAAAACTCCAAACTCCATCAGCACATCTTACACACTATCTAGTGTTGTGAAAAAGAATCTACTCTCTTACAGAGTTCTTCTGTTTCTTATTTCTTTTTTTACACTTGTATAGTTTGTGTCAAAATAAACAATTTTGACACAAAATATAACCAAAGTAAATAAATTATAATTTTTTTGTAAAAGGAAAAACTGTCCAGAGCAACATGGAGGAAAAGCACAAAGTGGCAGTTGTTACCATCACAACCAACCATCAAGTTTAGAGGGTAATCATTTTTTGTCACATCCATCCAGATGTTATGCTAACTTTTAAAATGCTGCAAAAAAAATGAAGTATGTTGGTTTGGAGTGACTCAACCGCAAAGCATGATGTTGATGCTGCACATGGCTAAAATGAACAAGATGTAGAGATTGCTAACTAGCATGAACAACACATCTCAGAAAAATGGAGAATCCTCCCCTCTGAGCTGGAGGTTTGAATTTTGACATGTCAGATACATTCCATGCCCCTGGTAAGGCACATACCCTTCAGAACTCTTCAAGCAAATGCATTTATCTTTTTTTCTTTTTTGGAAAGGCCAAAAACCATGTGCAGCAAAAAAAAACAAAAAAAAAACGTTTTTCTGAAATTGAGAAAATTATTAAAAATGTTGCCATTTCCATCAACCTTTTCTAATGCAATATTTCAAACTGCATAAAAAAATCATCATGGGAACATAGCTTTAGTCAGGTTTGGTTAGCTTAAACTCTTAAATTAAAAAATCATTTGAAAATTGCCTATTCTATTTAATCAAGTTATTTCTGTGTGGTATTAAAATGTTTGATCTGAAACTTTTAAGTCAGAAAAAAAGCAAAAACAGAAGAAATCTGCAAACCCTTTCTCACCGTAGTGTTTCGTCGAGTCCAATTCAGACAGCCTGAAGTTAAAATGTCCTAAAGCAAAAGTGTTAATACCTGAGTAAAGGCAGTCTGAGGTTTCTTCATGAATCATTTAAGGTAATGTTCTGCTTTGCGTTTTAACTTTATATTCCTTGATTTATTTTTCCACCTTCTTTTACCAAGATGGTTTGTAAAGAAGTTATTATATCTCTCCTCCTCATCCTGCTCCTGCTTCTCATCCTTGTACCAAGGTCCCCATACTCCTCCATTGTACTGCGGGTTGGAGCGCAGGTCCTTTGCAGGGTAGCGCACTGGCACAGCGGTCTTGTTGAACTGCACCAGCCGCATCAGCATCTTCTTTACTATGTGTGGGTATTGTTGAGACAAGTCTACTCGCTCATAAGGATCAGCTGTGATGTTGAACAGCCAGATGGATTTACCCCTGTCCCAACGCACACGTTCATTATGGTGACGAGTGGTTAGTCGTTGGTTGGAGAACGTCTGTGGTGGGACCCAGTCACTGTAGCCTGGCACACCCGTCAGTAGCTTCCAGTGGCCAACTCGGAGCGCAGCTTGGACAGCGGTGTTCCACAATCCATATCCTGCCTTCCAAGAGCCATTCTTGGCTTTAATGTAAATTGGGTCGATGTTATGTAAAATGTCTAGGCGAGGTGATGGACGACCTTCGCTAATAGCCTCCCAAACGTCGTATCCATCTAGGTTTTGATCTTCATCTAAGGTGCCTCCGCCCAGAGTCACCAGAGTCGGAAACCAGTCCGTTATGTGGACCAAAGTTTGACATTTTGACCCTTTTTTGACTAACAGGGGACTGTGAACAAAACCTACTCCCCTGATGCCCCCCTCCCAGTAGGTGGCTTTACTCCCCCTCAAGGGCCAGTTACTTCCACCGGCCAATGGCTGGCCCCCATTGTCTGTGGAGTACACTATAACTGTGTTGTCATAGTAACCAAAGTGTTTCAGGGCTAAGGTCAGGTTGTGAATGGCTTCATCGAGACAGGAAACCATGGCAGCATATTTTCGGCGATATGGGTTTGGGATTCCCTTGTAGCGCTCCAGATAGCGAGCAGGAACTTGCAGAGGGGAATGAACCGCCTGGTAGGCCAGGTAAAGGAATAAGGGTTGCTTGTGAGGATCGTGATTGGCCAAGATGCCGACAGCCTTTCGAGTGAACATCACGGTAGAGTACAAACCGCGGTCCTGTTCCCAAGCCGCCTCCTCCCCTTCGTACAGATCATAGCCGCACATGCCGGGGCCTTCGCATTTGTAATGACTGTAGTAATCGCCGCTTCCAAGCAGGGATCCAAAGAAAGTGTCGAAACCTCGTTGGGTGGGAAGGCAGCCACGTTTGTAAAAGCCCAGGTGCCACTTCCCCACCATGTGGGTGGAGTAGCCTGCTTCTTTGAGCTTCTGGGGGAGAGTGATATTCTCCAAAGGCAGGCAGTTGGGCTGGGTGGCTCGAATGATAGAATGTTGCAGGCCTGTGTGGATCTGATACCTTTGAAAAAAGAAAAAGGATGAAAGCCATTAGAAGATGAAGACATAAATGCGGTGAAGTATTCCCTAACACAGCAGGAAGAAAAGAGCCAACATCCGTCTGTTGGCTCATATTGACCTCAAGCAGTTTGATCCGTTTTACAGGACCTTGTAAAAATTTCCTCATCCCTAAAACTTTTCTCTGTAAAAAAAAACAACAATTCATATAATTGAACAAAGACTGTTTAAATGTTGTTGTTGCATTTCAAAAAGTGGCATGTACAAAAGTTACCTTACTATAATTCATTTGTTTTTGTCAAAAATGTAAGGGTTGATTAATATAATCTACAAAAGTAAGATTGTCTGTTTTCTTAACAGAACAAATACATAAAATTAAGGAAGTACAAGACTTGTCACATAGGGAAGAAAAGGATTTATTAGATAAAACATTCATACTTGCCAAATTAAAAAACTATGTGTGTCTGCATATGATTATGAACTTGGAGCCATTTTGAAGCCAGAAGAGTCAGCTCTTATTTTGGGAGCAGCGCTACAAGAGCCGACTCTCTGAAACGAGCCGAAATTCCCTTCACTAGTGCGTAGTGTGTCCCTGTTCTCAGGACCTGAATTTTTCCTGCCTCTTTTTGGGCCCTTGATCAGCAAGTTGGCTAAGAACATATTCATGTGGACTTTGGCAGGGCATGTTATCATTGCTGCATGTGATTTAAAAGTAAAGGCAGAAATATGGCAATGTCTTGTTTAAAATTGAAAATAAAAAAAAGAATAACAAGGCACACATCAGTAACAAAGTTTGATAAACTGAGCAGAAAAACAGAATACTTAAAAAAAAGAACAGTGAGAAAAGTAAAAGAAAATTTTAGAAGAATTTCAATTGGGCTTTTGTATTGTTGCAAAGTTTATGCACTTCCTTAGATAAAATTGCTTCACTTAATTGTTTTTTAATGGGATGATTTTTAATAAGCAGCATTTGTGAATAAAAAACAAAAAAAAACATTATCCCGAAAATTCAATTTAGTATAAGTCAACTCTTCCTCTCATTAGACCAAATTTTATTACACCAAAACTTAAAAGTGGAGTGCATTTCTTGTACAAGATACAGTTTTAAAAATCTTTCTAAAAATATTAGAAATATATTTCCAAAACTAAATATAAATTCTGCAATTGAAAAAGGTGTTATCTGAATATCGGTCACAAATGCACAGGAATTGGTTTTGAAAGTCATTTCAGAGAAACTTGATTAAATTTTGAAATGAATTAAATGCTTTGTCTGAAAAGAAAGACATTTGGTTCTTACTCTCAGGTTAGAGGGGAAGAAAACTGACTGTGTTCCTTATAAATTTCTTGTGACATTTTTTGTCAGTAAAGTTACGTTCAATCATGATCAGAGATGGTCCTTCTGGAGTAAAGGTGTCAAACTCCAGTCCTGGAGGGCCACTGCCTTGAAACATTTCGATGTGGCTCTGCTGCACCACCTGAATAGAATAATTAGGTCATTAAGGCTCTGGAGAAGTGATCTACACAAGGACCAGGTCATAAAGCCGTTTCATTCCAGTGTTTTGTGTCTGTGTACACCCCTCTGCAAACGCACAACAAATGAAACATTAAGAGACCTTAGTGTAAAAGTTTGATTTATTGATTGAAAGTCAGTTAAAATTTGAAAGTAATTTGTAAATATACTCCCACACTAAGCAACTAAGACCATATACACACACACACCTACACACACACACACACCACACACACATCTAGACACACATCTACACACACACACCTACACACACACACCTACACACACACATGTAGTGTGTGTAGGTGTGTGTGTGTAGATGTGTGTGTAAATAAGCACACACACACATCTACACAGATGTGTGTGTGTAGGTGTGTATACACACACACACACCTACACACACACACACACACATATACACACACACACATCTACACACACACACCTACACACACATATACACACACACACCTACACACACACACCTACACACACATGTAGTGTGTGTAGGTGTGTGTGTAGATGTGTGTGTAGGTGTGTGTGTGAATAAGCACACACACACATCTACACATATGTGTAGATGTGTGTGTGTAGGTGTGTATACACACACACACCTACACACACATATACACACACACATCTACACACACACACCCACACACATATACACACACACATCTACACACACACACACATATACACACACATCTACACACACACCTACACACACACCTACACACACATCTTCACACACACACACACCTACACACACATCTACACACACACACCTACACACATATACACACACATCTACACACACACCCACACACACATCTACACACACACACCTACACATCTACACACACACACCTACACACACACACACCCACACCTACACACACACCTACACACCTATACACACGTATACACACAAATATGTGAGTCACAATTTGTCCTACTGTACTTCTTCTTGATTAAAATGATTTTTTTCTGTACTTGTTTTTAAGAAAGAGTTATTTATATTTGTTAAAAAAATTCTTGGGCTTGTAAACAGTTTTTGTTCTTTGGTTTCAATGTAAAGTATTTAATTATGCTGTAGAATAATTGTAAAAAAGTAAGGGTAACTACTTCACGGATTTCACCTATCGGGATCTTTTTGGAATGCAACCGCCGCGAAAAACGAGGGTTCACTGTACACAGATACCTCCACCGCTCCTGGTGTATGGATATGTGCAATAACTAATTTTGCAATTTTACAGAGCCACCTTGTGGTGTACATTGAAAACAAAACTAGCTAGAGATGGTCAGTTTTGTGTTTGTAGTTGGCAGAATGAAGGAAATTGTAGAATTGTTTTGAGTTCTGTTGTGGAAAAAACAGCTCTTTCCAAGCACGGTTCAGGTAGAACCACTCAATCAGGTTTATTCATGCATTGTGCACAATTATGAGAGCTCATAAGACAATCAATAATCAAGCCCGTCTGGATGCAAGGCTAACCCAGGTGACTAAGCTCTGCCAGGTTTTATAAGAAAGGAAAGATTTTATAAGAAAGGAAAACAGTTGACAAGACGGTCTGGTCCTGACGGGAAAACAACCTTCTAACCTCGTACAAGTAAACAAGTAAATAGTCCTTTTGGTGAGAGTTCACAAACCTTTCATATGATGTGACTAGCAGATGTGACCTTATTGTAATTTTTCCATGACAGTTTCATAATGGCAATTATGGGCAATCTAATTTGTAACTTCATGTGTAGCTATTATGGCGTAATTGGGGGATGAATTTTGCTAGATTTTAATTGGCTCAGACTGTCCTGGGGGAGATTCTGGTTTTCTTTAATGTAATTTTAATGCTGAAAATTTTTTTTTGATCAACAACTTTTGCAGAGTGGTTCATTTGTTGGACAATCTATCCAGAAAACATTGCCCACTTCAATTTTGTTGAGGGGACTTGCAATTTTCAAGTACTAACCAGGAACGCATATTTTCTACCATAGTGCTACACACAGGTGAACATGCCTGAATTTTTGTATTTGAGTTAAGGCTGAAAGTAGTCAAGTACCTCGATGATTAAAATTCCTTGAGGAAAATGTATCTGCCTCGAAGCTTCATTAAGTTATATTTTATTATTTATTGTTCCGGCCGGGTTTTTACTTGCGTTGCAGCGTTCTCAATTCTGCCTAAGTTGTTGATGAAAGCTAAGTGTTTGCTGCATATAGTCCAGTTTTCATATTCAGCCTGGGAAGATTTTGCTGATTCATGATAAAGTCCAGGTCTTTGTAGTTTTTCAGGGGACCATCCTTAAAATGATGCCTGAAGTACAGCAGCTTTTCTCCTCCTGAAGCCGTTTCCTGAGAACAGGTGTCCTGTTTATCTGTGCTACCTGTAAATCTGTCCTATCTTGGGGTAATTGATGCTACGTCACATGCTGCTTACTCAGCAGATTTCTTATAAATACCTGTGGAAGTTTTGTTTCATGTGTTTTATTTCATTGAAGACTATGGTAAGCTTGATTTATTTTATACCTGGCTTTTATTAAGCTGCTGTTTTACTTCATGACTTTACAATGGCTTTAGTTTGCTGTCTGCAAAGTTGTTACTACTGTAAACAAGTCATTGTTTGGCGATTGATCAGGACAAAATATGTTGTGTTTTGGGCTGTTTTGTCCCTATATTTGAAAATATTTTAGTTTAATCACAGTTTTTTATTATTTAACTTTGCTAAATAGATGTGGAATTGGAGCTGTGTAATAGTTGTGTAATATTAATGTATATTAATCATATCCCATCATTTCAGGAACAGCATTGTGTTCCTGCGCAGTTTGGTGACACATTGTGGCTTCGCTGCATTTGATAAAGTCTGTCATTCATCGTATTTATGCACAAAAAAAGAGTTGTTCTGAGTTGATCTGTATTTAATTTAATTACAATGCAAATGTGTTTCCCCTGCCTGATATTGTTTTATTCGTACAAACACCTTTGTATTTAAAATATTTAACAGGTAGGATACCCTAATAAAAGGATTAGTGCATACATCTGTAGCTTTTCACTTCCTTGATTCAGATAATTGGTAGCTGGTAGGTGTGTTTCTATGTGTGACTGGTGTTAAATCCCGTCGCTAAAATAAACAAAAGCTAGAAATGTCTGGACAAGGTGAGAGTTCATCTATTAAACTGACTGAAATGAAGACAAACAAAAAGCTGGAGGATAGACATGTTTTGATAAGCGCATCTGTGAGCCTGCCTCTTTATTATTGAATTGAATATAATTTCAGATTTTTGCATAATATGTTTTCAGGTTAACATCCGCTCCATTTTGCAGAATTAGGCTCAGAATCCTAATTATGAAAAAAAATAATTAGGATTCTGAGCCTAATTATGTTAGGCTCAGAACATAATTGAAGTTCATATATAAACTTCATAAAGTTTATTTATGAAAGGTAAACTTTCCTTTGACAGTGAAAAACAAAGAGGAGGTCTGACAGAACCTCTGGTTCAGAT